TTAAATTCTAATTGGGAGGTTAGTGGCGAAATATTTATTTGTTCTCGATCTTTTTTTCTTGGGCTTATTTCATGCCACCCAGTGGCTCAGAGGTGAGTCTGCGGACTTATAACGTTAAAAACCTGGTTTCGATACTCGTGATGTGCAGAGCACAGATGGCCCATTGTGTATCTTTGTGCTTAAACTACAAAGAAACAAAACTTATTTCATTTGCAAATCATGATACGCGCACGTGAACTACAGCACTTATTGAGAATCACATTCATGGGCGCCAGCAGGAAGGGGCAAGGGGGGATCACTTGACCCCCCTGAATTTTCAAAAAGAAAAACCAATTAGAAGATATGTAAAATTCTTCTTCTTCTATGCTATTGGAAAATCATAAGGTATTTATATTTCGATTTCATAATTTTTTCAAACTTGAGTTACTTACCCCCTAATTTTTTTCTGTAGGCGCCCTTGATCACATTGATCAGTTTTTCACTTCCTTTTTCTCATAATTCGATTTCAATTAATTTTTTTATCGGAAAAAGTGGGTGTTTGAAGATAAATATATTGATGAGAAGGGAATAAAGAGAAAATGAGTAGCTATCTGATTTTTTCTGAGTTTGTGAATCAGCCAGTGACTCGGTGACCAACGAGAGCTGTAGACTTACAAAGATGTAAATCACACTCAGAACTTCTCTAAATACTTGTAACTATTCTACTGTTTGTTATGCCACCTGATTTGAATTCTCCCCGGGGGACAGCGGTAAATCTACGAACTTACAATGCTAAAATCCGCAGTTCGATATTCTTCGCTGTGAACACAGCAGGTAGTTCAACGTGGTTTTGCTTTTAAACAAACAAACAAGTCTGATTTGAACGTTTTTCAAACAGTAACAAATACTATTAACTCTTTTAAAACGTTACAACGTTTTTAAACATCCGATGTATTTTTAAGGTTTGTTTGTTTGGTTTTGTTGCACAAGGGGCTATCTAAGCTGTGTCCACCGCAAGGAACGAAAAACCCGAATTTTTGCGTCATGGGGGGTGGGCACGTATTTGTAAGAGCAGAACGCATAATGTATATATGAATAAGACATGTTAAAGCAAGTGACCGATTCTGTTAACAATTGACTTATTTTAATCTGTATCTCCACACATTACTCACCCACTCGTCATTTTCCCGTGTCGAATGTCTGAACTCACAACTAAACACTTCTAAACTGTGAACACCCATTAGTCAAGTAAAGTCAAGATGTTCTTCCTCACGTTCCCTTACTCACATTACATATTTTATATTCCTCTCCATTGGTAGAAGATATTTAAGACCAATCTTTACTCTTGAAGCAGGTATACCTCACAGAAAGTGGTTTAAATACACGTTTCAAGTGACTAAGCACGTGCGATAATGAGACTACAGTGGATTAAATGCAGGAAATAAGTGTTTATCTTCCGCACTTGGATACAAAATAAACTTCTTAGTTAAACAAAGTTATCACGAAGTAGGAGGAACCAAAATGTAGTCGCAAACAATTCTAAAACTTAAATGGAGTCTTACAAAACCAAACTTACGTGTTGGAAAGACAACGTTCTCACTAAAAACACGAAGACGAAACCAACTGTTACTGAAATATGCATGGAAAAAATTTAAAAATATCACAAGTTTTGCTGTGTGTAGTGATCTAATGATATAAGTTGAACAGTTCTAAATATTCCAAATTATGTGAGGTTTAAGTTCGTTAGTAATAATTTACGAATTATGAGTTAAGCTACTGTCTATTTGAATAATGTATGTTTAATTTCATGCCACTGCTTTTTAAAAATCTGGCATTAAAAGTTATTGTTGTTTAAACATGTCGTTGTCACATCGGAGACAAGTCATTAATCACATGACTACTACACGGCTAAGTTTAAATTCCTACATATCGTATATTACGAGTTACTATTCTCCTAAGGAACGACGTTTCATCTACGGTCTTTTTTTTTTGGGGAGGGGGGGATGGCCAAAATATTAGCGCGTTCATCTGCGGATCTAAGAGTCCGGGATTTGGTTTGTTTGTTTGTTTTGAATTTCACGCAAAGCTACACGATGGCTATCTGCGCTAGCCGTCCATAATTTAG